AATGTCGACATTTTCTTTGTGAAATAAAAACAAACAAGCAAACAAAATAGAAGACATTATAAAGTTTCGAATTTCTTTTCTTTGAATACAATAATAAAATGGAATTAAAAATCAATTTGAATGTGTATGGTTGCTTTAACTTTTTTATTGTGCAAGACATGATGTTTTGTTGTTTCCAACCACATTTCATTTGAACTCATTTAGTTATTCTTGTTGTCAACGTTGTTGTTTGCGTTGAACAGTTAAGTTTTCATTATTTTGACTTCAATTTTTTTTTAAATCGAATCGGAGACAAAAAAAACAGGAATTAATCCTAATGGAAAAGCTTTTCAAATAAATAGTGAACAAGATTATGGATCATCAGAGAAAACTGCTATGGAATTTATAAACAGCTACATCGAATCAGATCGTTACCCGGAATTGTGATATACTTCATAACAACAGTACGGAGTCTATCAGAATAGAGTGACACTAAACAAAACGGATGCCTTGAATTCTAAAATTGCAAAGATACGTATGAATGTTTTTCGCATAAAATAAGCCAACGGATGATCCAAGAATTCCCTTCACGGACTATGTAACAAAACTTAAGGAATCATTCTAACCACATAGATACAGATATTCAGTTCAAAAACCTATATAGTCAAACAAGGTATCCAGTTGCGATTTCTGATCAGGAACTTGAACAGTTAAAGTCCGATCTTGTAGACTGTTGTTATCAGAGTAAAAGCAGTAAATGTAACTCCAAAAGCATTCTTTAGATGAAGTTTAGGAAAGTTATTCACATGCTCCCAAAGGACGAAACGTTATTTATTACAACAGGGGTTGTTTTTAATAAAAGTGATTATATTGAAAAAATAGGTACCATTTTAGATGACAAATTAAAATTTCAAAAATCAACTGACCAGAAAGATCTGAATAATAGATAAAGAATGACGCATCACTTTACTGTCGATATATGGATAGCACGTTCACCTTCTGTAAAGGTAGCATATTACAACTAGTGGTCTTTAAGCAGCTTATTGAAGTACACTCGGCCATTAATTTTACATCTGAAGAAGAAAGTGAAGGTAGAATAGCCTTTTTGGACAATCTATTAACAAAAAGAGCTGATGGATCAATAAGATGAAATTTAATAAAGAGTACCTGAACAAGGCATTACAAACATCTCTTTATTTTCGTACCTTTACAGTACAAAAGAAACCTGATCAAAACTCTTAGTTATCGGACACGTACTATATATTCTATGTGTATAGTTGATGAAGAACCAAACACCTTGCGGAAAGTTTATAAACAGATATACGATCAATTAGGTTAGAATAGGCGAAATTCGAATAGTGAATAAGAAATCCGTGTTCATACGCCTACAATTCAGAAAAGATGCAGCTTGTGAAATATCAATCCAGAGATAACGCGGAAAAATCCTAAGAACATTCAACGCCAGAAACACTATAACTAGTGTTTTCTACGCGCTCATCGGTGGCTAAAAGATGAATTAGCTAGAATGACCGCCCCATTTTGTATCTATAAATTCTACTGTTCTTGTAGAGCAAGTTATATAAGTTGGAGTTCTAGGTATTTGAATCTTCGTGCTCGTGACACATCCTAGTGAGGCTAAGCAAAGGTTTAGTGCAGTAAATGAACAGCTCTATATTGGCCCATTTAGTGCAGTGATCATAGTGCCGGTATAAACCAATCCTGCTCAATATTTTACCGGGTCAGTAACATTTTGCCTAGGTCTGTCAGACTCAGTCCTTCAAACATCAGTGATAGTAGTCGTTAGGATTAAAAAGCTATAGCTATATGTGCAAAATAAATATCTTTAACCGCTTCTCCTACCTTGGTCAACCTTAGGGTCAATTATTTTATAACAATATTAACTATCGAGTAACTTAATTTGACCAATTTACTCACAACCTTCCTTAATCAAATATAATTGTCTTTATTATCTTTATATTATTATTGGTTTAACATTATTATTAATCTCTTGAATACATAATTAATTTACTCAGCACTCATCCAACTTTATTATTTTCTAATAATTTCACATAAATTCTGACACAAAACTTTCGATTGAATTTGTAATTGCCTAATTATTTTTTTAACCAATCAGATTCATATTCGTTAACTCCATTTTCAAGTTTAAATACATAGCAGTTAACTAAAAGGTTTATTACTAATCAAAATTGTAATTTAATGTTTATATTTGTGTTTAAACTTAAGTGATTTTGTAATATCATTTTCTAAATGAATATTCTCTGTGGACAGTAATTATTATGGCAAATAAATAATCAGCGTATAGGTATATATAGCTAATCATTGTCAGGTAGAGACAGGTATCTACCTCAGATAGTGGAAAATGGTCTCAAGATTTCGCAGATTGGTTGAAATCAGCCCTTAACACCGTCGGATGCCGTCTCAGTGGTCTAGAGGTCAAGTGTCCGTGCGCGAAACTAAGGGTTCCGGGTTCGAATCGAGCACGCGGGGTTGTGGGTACGCATTGTTGAGCAGTTTAATACTGGAACGGCACGGCCGTCCAGTGCTCCCAGGTTTTCAATGGTGATCTAACCTTGATCGATTCATGATCTCAATCAAGGCTCAGCAATTTCTACAACCCCATACTGATGTCACATATTGTACCATGCAATAAACCCTATTCGATACCAACCTTGTGAGTATTCTTTGAAATATTCATTGGAATCAATTAGTTACTTATTGGATGCTAATACAGAAACCAAGACAATATCTTCCTTTGAGTAAACGCTTTGTGTACAAATGTATCTCTTAGAAAGACCATTAGTGCTTTGTGTGACTACGCCCCATTAAACAGTCTTCAACTGACGTTGCCTGTCAAATCTCTTAGAGATTTATTATTATTACTATGTACTGACAATGTGAAATTCGCTTTTGAGGAAGAGCATTTTGGACTGATCTATGGCATATCTATGGGTAGCTGTTTATGATAATTGGTGGCCTATGTGTTTATGGTATATATGGAATAACCGGGTCCTTTTTATAGACATACTGATCAGTAGGAAAGATAATGGTTCCATCAAAACGTTCTGTATATAGAAAACTGATATGGACAAAGCAGTATCTTAGTTTCCATGGTCACTGTCCAATCTGGTACAAACGTGGAATTATAAGGGGCTTATTCAATAGGATCAGTCGTACTTGCACTAGCGATACGATTGAGGGAGATGTACAGACCCTAATTGAAACATTGATAAATAACGGTTGCTCATTAAGGTTTATAAACCATCGAAAAGGCAGCAAGATCATGAGACCCGAAAATCGATCATAGTTTTCCCTACCATTCAGAGATGACACAAATTGGCTTATCTTGAAAACGGCGTAAACTGGATATCAGTAAAACCTTTTACGTAGCCCAACTCATCACTATCGAAAACTCAAGATCTATGTTTCACTAGGAACGTAAACACCATGTAAACTATTGCCACATTCTATTGCGTCTATCAATTTACATGTATGTGCGGAAACACATACATAGACAGATGTAATCGTGATCTCCGATAAAAGGTGGTTGGACACATACTTAAATAGCTGCTGAAACAGATGAATTCCAATGGTCAAATAAGATCACAGGATGGACAAGTATCTCCATACATTGATAAGTATTTGGTTGAGACTTGTCATATGGTTAATAAAACGTCAGCCAATGTAGTGTTACACAGAAGTCTTAAAGGTCGCATACCAAGTTTTACCGAAGCCGTGACTTTACGCAAGCTGAAACCCTCTTTATGCGTTGGAAAACATATATTCAATAAGCTGGAGTCATTTACAAATGATCGGTTGCGTCCCAGCCTTTCCATGTTAGGCTTATCGCTTTGCTTTCATTCCTTTGTGACTTTCTGTGGTTCGTTTCGATCCTGTTTTGTATTGCAATGGATTTTTTTCGTTTCGTTTATTATTAACAAGACTTGGTGGACATTATTAGTTTTATCAGCCGTTTTCTTTTTATGAGAGAGCTTAACAAAGCTTATGTCACTAGTAGTTAATTTAGACAAGGCTAGTGATGACAAAAAGACGATTGACTTTCAGAAAATGATCGCTAATATCAGTTCGCAAACATAGAAATCGGAAGATATCTGTCTGTCTAAATCAGCCGTGATACTTGCTCATTGAGGCCACACCTTCCAATATGGATACTTTTCATTCATTAGAATTCTAGAGCTAGTCTAGGAGCTTTAGATATATTTTGTAATTGACGTTCAAATTAGATAAACACTTAGACGAAGAGTATATAAGATCCTTGTCAGTTCCTTTAGGACCACCCTTCCATAAGTACACAGACGCCTTTCAAACAGGAAGCAGCCTACGTCGGCTCTTTCTTCACTAGAATATAGCGGTATCCCGACAAATGTAAACGCATGAGAAATATCTACTGAACCCACAAACACATGTAATGTTTAGTACTGATTTAACATATCCGTAGAATGGGCAAAGCAAATAACTATTTGAATCCTATTGACGTCTTGGAAGGTGAAAAATATATCCATGACTCAAGGCGATATACTTCACATAATCACTGACTATTGATAATGTGTATATAGGAAGTTGTGGAACTTCTAGTTGTGCACCGCACAAAAATCGTAATCTATGGTTGGAGAGTATAGATCACATAACTAGAAATCAATGAGTTTAAATAATTCCTTACTTTAGTGTAATTTCATGGGTTTCATTATTTGATCTCATTAGTTGTTTTGAACCAACTACTGAATTCAGAAGCACATGTAATATGTAGTACCGATTCAACATATTAGTAGAATGGGCAAAGTAAATATTTTGAATTACAAATATATCTCACTCATACAACAAACGTGCATAGAGCACAACAACTTGCCTCTGAGTAGTTACTTAAGTGACTTAAATGGAAAGAAACGAATAGGATCGTATGGGATTCTATATTTTACTGAAACGCTATTCCACTTCTACGATTTTGTAAGAAATGTTGTTTAACCCCTCCTTCCGACAAATTGTAGGACGAAAAAGAGGATTGATGTGTACGAACAGAGCAATTCATTTTATTTGTCAACTTGCTGCCAATACTGTCTATCATAGAAAGATACACGGGATAAGGAACAAAAATTGATTATTCTCATGCGCATGTACTTATACACACACAAACGTGCGTACAAGGATTAAATGTTTAGCTTATAAAAAACTACATATTAGAAAGTACTTTAATTACGGAAACAAAGGATAAGAAAGAATATGATACAACTCAGTAGATATTTTCACGATAACTGTGCAATTCATAGGAAAATATGAACTAAATGCGATCGAACATGATGATTATGTGATCACTTGTAATAAGAGTTTGTGTATGTGAGAGAGATAGATAGGAGAAAGGAATTTAAGGAAAAACAAGAGAGAGAGAGAGAGAGAGAGAAAATAAGACCGTAGAATAAAACCGATGTGATTTTCATCGGTGTTTAATATTTATCTACGTGAATGTCGAGATGGTCCTTGGGATTCTGAAGTTGAATATATAGTAATAGAACCCGGATTATTATTAATATTATTGTTAAGATTAGATTCCATATTCATTGAATCTAATGACGAACGTTGATGATGGTGGTGATGATGAGCTGAGGAACAAGAAAGAAACAAGACGAATTTAATAAAACCCACAGTAGTTTACGTATCGTTAATAGGCTACAATATTGATACCACACAAGTAATACATTAGAGAACTGACTAGTAGTAAATAAATAGTAAATAGTATAATTTGTAATATATTTTTAATTATTGATGATAAATTATAAAGTGAATTGTGCAACTATGACATGTAACTTAACAATACTTACGAATGATCGATTAGTATATGAGGGGAAATAAAAAATTAGAAATGTAGGTATTTATAATGACGTTTTCACTAAATAAGAACTTTCGTCTAAATTTGAACGAATAGTTTCACAATATTGGGGCGCCGAGTTAATGTGAGACGTTTTAACTTCTTTTATGAGAATTCCCCCACATCACTAGTTATAACTTTGCATTTAATCAACAACAATATTAATGATAATTCTCATCAAGAACCGACATCAACTTGTTAACAAATATTGTAAATCAAGGAGAACTGAACATATTATATGTTTAAAACAATTAGTCCCTTTGATAAAATTCGATAATGCAATGAGAAGACGTAGTTTATCAGAATTATGTGATACATTTGCGCAATACATTTCGAACAATCTGATCACACATATACTTGTTTAGAACATTCATATATGAAAATTAAAACGTCGACTAGACAGGTTAAGGGTAAGTCATAACAAAGGAAAAATATTAAAGTACATAAAAACAAATGTGATTACCACTCTGGATAGTAAATCAGTACTACCAGGGTAGGTTAAGTGTAAGCACAGATTGTTTTTGAACATATAAAGAGAGTTTCAGTTTTCGTATAGCCAAGGCTTTTGTACAACACAACAAATGCTGATTTGATATCAACCTTATAACCCGTCTCAATCAAATGTTTCGCAATGGATGATGATGTCTGTCTATCCTGTGATCTTATGTATTGCGCAAATATATCACATAATTCTGATAAACTACGTCTTCTCATTGCATTATCATATTATATGTGAAAATTATATTTGAAATATTCTCAGCGATTGAAATTTAACTAATTCCGACGTTTCGTCCAGCTAACTTGTCTGGACTTCTTCAGGGTGATAATCAAAATCAAAATTATCAAAGAAATATATAGCTTTTCAACAATCAGGATTATATTGTGTTAAACCAATCATATTTGGATGTTGATTTTTTGTAAAATAGGATAAAATGAGTCAGTTAACTAGAAATCGTGTGGAGAAATCAACTACATGGAAACAAACCGTGTGTGTGTGTAGGTATGTATGTATGTGTGAGAGATTGATATGAAGGAATAAATAAAGTTCAAGTTCAAGGATGAAAAATTGATAATGAAACATCGATGTACATGTCAAAACATAAATTGTATTGTTTAAAAACTGATTGAATTCTTTCAAAAATAATAACGATGCATGTGATATTAAAAAACAGGTTTAAACAAGAGATAGGTTCCAAATTTACTTGTCAAACGAAATTTGCCAGGTAGTTGCCAGTTGAATACCATCTTTTCGGTTCAGGCTGTTCTTGTTCGCCCATATTATGCAGCGCTTCTGCTGTCAATCTTTCTTCATGGGTGTTAAAACCTTTCTGAAATATTTTGGTCCCTTCAAAATTAATCTTGTGTCCTGTTTCTAACGCATGTAACGCTATCGCTGACTTATTTTCAAGTTTCTTTAAATCTACCGAGGATTTTGGAACATTTTTCAAGCATTGTTTGTGTTCCTTCAATCTTACATTCAATTGCCTGGATGTTTCTCCAACATAGGTAGCATTACAGTCATGACAGTGAATCTCATACACAATTTTCTGTTGTTCTTCCGTTGCTAACTTGTCCTTAACTTTCACTAATGTCGATCTTAATGTGTTATTCGCTCTAAAATATACTCTTATATCATGTTTGTTTAGAATCCGTTTGATTTCTTCTGATGTTTCACTACGGTAAGGTATGACTACGGTGTACTTCCATTCTTTTCGTATACATTCTAGTTTAGTTTTTCTTTCATTTTTAATAATCTTCTTTAAAAACCTTTTTGGGTAGTTGTTATCCCTAAGAGTAGAAAATGCTTTATTTAATTCGGTTCGTTGGTCATCCTTGTCTGTAACAATCTCGATACTTCTGTTCATTAGATTTTTTACTACATTAATTTTCGTGCTCTGTGAATGGGCTGAATTAAGATCCAAGTATCTCTCGGAATGTGTTGATTTTCTGAAAACATTTATTTTTAACTTCTTATTATTGTGTCGACGATCAACCAAACAATTTAGAAATGCTAGTTTGTGGTCAACTGATTCTAATTCCTTATTTAGTTTAATGTTTTCAGAAATGCTGTTTACATTGTTAAATAGTTCTTCCATACCATCCCGTTTATTGATAATAAAAATATCGTCTACATACCTTAACCATAACTTTGGTAGACATAAACTTTTTGCGATTGCACTAGTTTTTAGGGAATGCATGAATAAATTCGCTACAATCGGAGAAACTGGTGAGCCCATTGCTATACCCTCTTTCTGTCTGTAAAGTTGACCTCGAAATATGAATAAGGTAGATCTTAACCATAATTCTAAGCATTTTATAACCTCTGATGGATCTAATGGGCATCGTAAATTTAAATCTAAATCAGATTCTAAACAATCCATGATAATATCCATAGCTCGACTGATAGGTACATTAGTGAATAAGGAAGATACATCATTCATACCTACACACACACACACACATACGATTTGTTTCCATGTAGTTGATTTCTCCACATGATTTCTAGTTAACTGACTCATTTTATCCTATTTTACAAAAAATCAACATCCAAATATGATTGGTTTAACACAATATAATCCTGATTGTTGAAAAGCTATATATTTCTTTGATAATTTTGATTTTGATTATCACCCTGAAGAAGTCCAGACAAGTTAGCTGGACGAAACGTCGGAATTAGTTAAATTTCAATCGCTGAGAATATTTCAAATATAATTTTCACATATAATGACTTCTCTATACTCGGCGCTCAATTACTGTCAAACTATTCGTTCTAATCTTGACGAATATTCGTATGAACTGAACATATGTTTTTCATTCAGCTTTGTTGCTATTGAAGGCGCTTGCCAATATGCAAACACATTGTGTGAGGATGACCCACAGGTGCCTTCGGGGAAGCTCTAAGAAGCTCAGAAAGAGCCGAAGATATTCCATCCAATCACCATTCGGAAAAACATTCCAGAATCACTACGTGTAGCTTACCTATTGACAAATGCTAAAAACCACTGTATGAGGATTGGATAACTATAATGATGATTTCGTTTATAATAAAAACTATAAATACCTGAGAGTTTTGTACTATATTCGACACTGTTTAGAATAGCGTCCCTTTAACTTGTCTTCTCTCCTCGCTACCGTTCGAGTGCTCAAGTTGTACGCGATATACCAAGAATCTAAGATCTAGATATAACAGCTGGCGATGGGGTCAACTTATCAACTGGTGATCAAATTTAGCACTTTTAAGTTGTGCTATAAAGCAATGATTCGATATTTAATTTTGTTAGTTATTGTCATGCAATATCATCAGTCAGTCAGTAACAACGTAGAAGTTCGTACGTACGTACATCAGTTCGAGTTGCCACACCACATCAGCACAGAGATGCAGTTGTCGATTCAAATCCCGTAGTGGTAGAGATAATAAGAGTATAAGCAGTAATCGGAAAGATTAGGGTTTGAAGATGTTATTCAAGGAGTATAATACAGTGAAATAAATTTGGAAAGAGAAAAAAGAAAGGGATATGAAGAATTCAGAAGATTAGAATTTGGGAGAACACAAAGTGGATGCACCCGCGCACACCATTGCAAACGATTTTGAGCCATGTCATTCAGGGTCTCTAACCATCGGTTGCTATCATCTCGCGGTCCCCAACCAGGTAGTCTACATCTACCAACATGACTCAGTCCATTTGTCAGTGACTTCATGGACTTGTGCCATGTTTTGGTCTAGCCGCCCCTAGCTTTCTTCCAACCTACTCCTATACCATCGCAATATCATCAATAAAGTTGCTATCCTACTATAGCATTACGGTCTTTACAAATATAAATTTATCTACTGTATATGAGTGGAGCAGTTAAAGCACCTAAATTGCAGACCATGAGCTCCAGGTTCGAACCTTGCTCGATCTACTTTGATTCGAGTAACTAAAGAATATCACCAGACATATACATACAAAGTGTGGCTTTGAAAATATATTTGATAAATAAATTACTGTATCGGAGCAATGCAGCATAGAATTAGCAAAGAGATTTGAATAGGTAACCTGCTAAACAAGCAACATCATAATATTCCATAAAATATACATTACAACATAATTCGGGAAGTGAACTAAGACCTACCTTTATTTTCGCTTACCTTTCTTTGCTTTCTTTACCAAACCTGCTGAACTGGAAGCAATTAAATTTCGTTCATTTTCTAAGCTTGGTTCTCTACTTTCAGTAGAATTACCTGATGATGCTCTTTGATGACTCGACTGTCTAGATTGATGATGATGATGATGACGTAGAGAAGAATTAACAGGGTAAACATTTTCACCAGGACTTGTTGTTGAACGACTACCAGTACCACTACTACCGCCGCTGCAAGAATTAACACTGGGAACAGTGTTGGAAACTATACCGGCATTTGTGTAGCGTAAATTTTGTATAGCAGTTTCTGGAGTGATCGGTGAACTTCCTGGAATAGTTGTGGGAGTTGAACGTTTACGTGTGGAAGATTTATGTGACTCACGTGGTTCGTCAACTGTGTTCACTGATGCCTGTTTCAAAGAAAATAAATACGCGTACTACATTGAAACATAAAGATGGGAAAAGTCAAAGAAAGATTATAGATGTTTTACTATCAGCCACTCAGTACAAGTAATTATAAAGCCGTTCTTTACAAAAGGAAATAAGCCACCCTTATTTCACTTTTAGCAATTATACGAGTTATAAGATTAAAGCTGAAAATCTTTAAAAAGATATATCATGATTAGAATTTATCACTGGCTTCTTACAAAACGTTTTATCTCAATTAGCTCTGTAACATGATGAACTAATACATGGTCAAAATAGATTGGTAAGATTTATACGTAAAATAACATGTCATGTAGTTTACCTGATATCACTCATGACAACTAATTAGCTTTTGTACAATAATAAATACTTTTAAAAATAAAATCAAATTCATTTTAGCTTAACTAAAAACATCTGGTACTGTTAGCACACAAACAAGTGAACGTTTATTCCAAGTGTGTGCAACCATGCAAGATAATGCAACAGAAACCAAATAAACTTAAAAATCAAAAGATGTAAGAATCTTTACGACTAAGATGTATATCAAATTAACTTCTGGATGTATAAGAAAGTGACAAATAAAGCTACGAAGTAATTCTTTCTATTGTTCGCATTAACATTTTTTCTAAACTGTTCAAATGAGGATTTTTCCGTCTAGTTCATACATACTACTTACATATTGAATTAAAAGTGAATATTAACCATTTTAATTTCAATAAAGAAGAATAATAAATGCCAGCAATTAAAGCATTAAAATTTAACACTGAGATGGACGGTGTAGTTGTCAAGGTACAATTCTGATTATGAACAATACAAACAGTCTATTTTAAACACAAATCAGTTTAAATAAAAACTTCCATGTGAGTTACATCAACTTATCACGGACAAGTACGGATACAAATTTTATCGGGAAAATATCAGGTATTTAAAAATGTTACAGATACCAGAGAAGCGTGATGATAATTTAATTACCAATCAATAGATGTATCGACATATATCCGATATACCAATGCGAACAAGGTCGATCAACCACCAGATTAAAGATTAACGTAAATGTACATTAAACAGTAAGAATTTTGAAGAAATACAATTACAAACTAAGCTAACAGAACAAAATAATTATACAAAAACAAACACTTCTTAACACAAACTTGATGATATTTGTGTTCCGTAGACCTGCGAAATCTTGAAATTGAGGTTCAGTACGAGCTTAGGGTAACTGCTAATAACGGGAACTGAGATTTTGTGATAAGAACCCAAGCATATAGAAACTCGGAAATACAAGGTGGGTATCACATAACAACGTTTCAAAGATAATAATTGACATCTTGATATGAGACTTTCAGGAACACATGTTCAATCTGAAATGGAACTACTCAATGATCTTCGGATAAAACAAAATTAGCAAACCCAAAATGACAACAGTCAAGCAAATAATAACAAAGGTCACTGTGAGTATATGAATTAGGAAACTTTTATTGGGTTTATACTTCAAAGAACGCATGAACATATAATAGTAAAGAACTGCCTAATTTGAGTCCTCCTTATTAGAACCGATTCAGCTATTGATTCATGATCTTATGGAAAACCGAACGCACATGTGAAGCTCTATTCCAAATAGCTGAATAATAATTTACCCAACTCATGTGTCTGTATATAAATTAGGATACTGAGTCTGACAGTAGTGGAGGTGACCTACGCTGAATGAGCTACGAATAGTTGTCAATCTATACCATATGGCTTAGTTGACATCATGTAAGCCGTTCAGGTTCGCCCAACATGTAAGATCGGACTATTCAGTACCGCGTTACAAGTGTTCTAAGACATTAATATTTTTGGTATTACATTTTAATTATCATTAACCATAGAAAAGTATCAGCTAGTTGTTACATTACTTAAACACAAATAGTTTTATCAATTTTAAGCCAATACCGATATCACATTTTTTTATTAAAAAATGTTCTTTGGGTTGTCTCTCATTTTTCCTTAACATCAACATGAGATACAGTTAAGAATCAGTGAAATGAAAAGTGGAGAGAAAATGGTTTTAAAATGAACAAGTGAAACTATTTTTAGGTTTATTAATGACAAAGAATTTAGCTTATTGTATGTCTAACTTATTGATAAAAGTATAACAATAATAACTATTATTAAAAGTGGCTGGTTGAAGAGTATCATTCACATAAATGGACAAGATTAGAGATAGTAGTACAGCTCGGTTATCATGTACAGGCTTATATTTCCGGAGGTTTAGTATCCTCTGAGTTGAAGGGTTTGATGAGGTTGTGAATCTCCATTGACAGAGATGGTTAGGCCACGTGTTATGTATGCCTGAACACCGATTACCACGACGTGCAATGCTAACCGGTGTTGGGGATGGTTGGAAGAAAGTTAGCGCCCGTCAAACGAAAACGTGCCATCAGTCCTTGAAGTCATTAACTTCTAGTTTCAGCCATGTTGGGAAATCCAGACTACTTGGTTGGGGTCCGCGTGACTATCATAACCAATGGTTGGAGACTCTGGGTGACATGGCTCAGAATAGATCACAATGGCGTAAGTGTATACACACTTTGTCTTCCCTTAAACTATGAGATTAGAATTGTTGTATGTCTTTCTTTCTACGAACTAATTTTTTCTTTCTGTACTATATCCTTACATGAAATCTTTAGTTTATAAATTGTGCCATTGAGTTAACTGCTTCTATGAATCCGGTGTTCGTCTTGCTGTGCTATTGAGGTATGGCAGCTTGGACCGATGCATATATGTGCCTGGTCCTTGTAGCTGACTGACTGATTGAATGAATGCAGAGGTTCGGCATCGTGTGTTCTGGCACAGAGACGATAATCCAATTGGTGTCATTATCTTGAAACATGTACCTAGTCCTACGTTTTAACTGACTGACTGAAGGGTTTGATGGTAAAGCTTTATCGTCCTTTTAAACAACATCAGAACATCAAAAAGGAGCGATCTATTAGAGTTTCTCTATAGTCTCTTGTATTGAGTATCAGTGATCATTAGTTGTACCATTCAACTTTGAAACATCTACTCATTGTGATGCCTAGAAAGATAACTGAAGGTTTGTGACTAAACAATTCAACTAAGACAACACAAGACCTCCAAGATCCCAATTCTAATCTCTAAATGCATTCTATCATTGCATAGGTTTGTTTATTATGTTGTAAGTCACAGTTTTCTACTAATCACAAGATCCAATTAATCGTGAAGATTACACTGTTATGCAGACAATAAGTTGGGTTCAAAAAGATTAACCAGAACTAATTCAAGATATTTATCGTGGTCATTATCTAGTAGCATCACAATAAGTATTCATTTCGCTTTGAACTTGATTGACTATAACGGATGTTAGAGAGCGTTATAAGATAGATACACTGACACAAAAGACAAGTAAACAAGAAAATTGAATCATTTTCAGTTTTTTTTAAAAAAAAGCAATTACTTTTCTGCATCACTGCTTCTGCAGAGACTGGAAGTCTCGATCATGCCAGTGATCAAACCAAAAATTTTAATTCATTATGTGGACGACATATTCGTCAACGTAAAAAAAGATGACCTGGAAAACACCTTCAATCGAATCAACGTCTTTGATGACATCATAATCTCAATATAATAGGAATCAAACAACAAACTACCATTTTAAATGTAATAATCACCAGAACCGACACAGGAAACCTGGAGAAAAGAGTATATCGGGAAATGAATCACACACAAAAAATTCTCAATTACAGTAGCAACAACGAAAGAGCTCACAAAACCAACTACGTACAAACTCTGTTCAGGAAGGCGAGGACAAATCGCAACACACTTGTAGTGCGGAAAAATGAAGAACAGCTGAAGACAATTTTTCACAAGAACGGCTAAACAATCAAGTTCAACAAAAAATATCAGAAGAAGCAAACTCCAGTTAAAAAACCAACAAACAGATCATTCTACGACATATAAAAGGCATTTCAGAAACTAAGACGAGATTGTTGAAGCCTTTTGGAATAGGTGTAGCACACAAACCAATCAAATTATTCCGATCAATCCTATGCAAACCAAATGACGAAATGAAAAAAGAAGTAAAACCGAACATCATCTACAAAAAAGAATTGTTCCGATTGAGAAAAACACTACATCGGACAAAGCGGTCACCTTCTTCATCGTCGCCTGAATAAACATCAATTATTGTAAACTCATAATGTTGTCAATTTATTTGACCGAGAATAAGGTGATAGCACTTCCTAACTACTTACAGACATTTTGAAGTTGGAATGATCAAGATAATGTAATCAATAAGTAAAAAAAACTTTCAAAATGAACTTATTCACCATGTACTTCAGTAAGAGCTATACTTTAATTGTGAGAAGGGTTCGAACCCGGGTAATGTAATACTGGCAAAATTAGTAGATTGTTATTGATATCGAAGATAATGAACTTTTAATCACGATCTGACTCCAGCTAAACGAACATTGGAAACCAAGGACTGTTGAACAGCCAGTTCATTCTAATATAGGATAGCTCAGAAATGCATATCCAAGACCATATAGAGGATCGAATTCAGGACCTTCAGGTCTTACAGTGAGTGCATTGTCTTTGGACTAGTCAGAAGTCTTCGTTTTCTAACATCAGCCATTGTTCATTGAGTTGAATATTACCTGTCCCACTTTCTACATCACTAAACTTTATAGTCGATTTATTTAGGCAAAATTCATCTTTAAAATTGAGCTAATCTCCACAATATACGCAATCAAATGATGATATTTAGTAAATTTTTTGTTGAAACAACACAAATCATCAGTATGGTACGCATAATATTAGGACAGTTTATTAAACTGTTTGAGTTTAAGAGCCGCCTTAAGTTTGAGCAACAAGTATATTAAAGTCATGAAGTAAGTGAATAAATTCCTCAACGCGAAATATTCAGCGTTTTCGTCAATTAATCTTGCAAGATCAAACCAAGATAATATTACAAAATAAATGTTTGAATTTTTAGTTCTATTCAATAAGTATAAGATAATAGACATAATACCATAAGGTAATTGTAAATACTAAAAAGTCAAAAGCAACTAGCAACCGGAAGTCATTTTCTAACCTACCATGTTGATTCAACTCTCACCTAAAAAACATAGAGATGGATGTCCCTAGTGTATTGATTGAACAGACAAATCATATACACTGGTTTCTTTTACAAACTTAAGCAAAATGTCCGTATCAAGAATCACAAACCAACAACTATAAATCATGAATGAACATCAATCTATAACATCATCGTCCCAGAAAAAAGTTTCTTGAATTTTGTAAACTACTTTTTTCCGCTTATCATTTAAACTCTTTATCAGTATAACTAGGAGCAGTTGTCTAGTGGAATTGGATATTTTTTTTAGTTCTGTCGCTGAATTGACTAAATTTTAATCTAGTCCCTCTAATTCATTTTCATTTTCCCTTACTAATGACGGTCAATACGTGAAGTTAATGGCTAACAAAACTGATTGATATCCTTTTGTTCATAATGCATCCTATGCCAGAAAATTCAAAAAGCTCTCGCTTTCTTTATAGTTCTTCCTTGAAAAAAATTTTATCTGTCAATCCTTGTAAAATATGATAAACCAATTATTTATTGGTGTCATACATAAAATGATTGTTTCATATTTGGTGAAGTTCACCAGTCGTAGGTTAGTTAGATAATTGGAATTAAATGTGGCTTTCTCTATCCCTAAACCATAGTACTTCAAGTCCACGTACAGTTTGAAGTTCATAACTTAACATTCCATATGAAGATTGAACATTGATTCGTTTGGTAAGTTTACTTGTGATATAAGCGTATACGTTGTGTATATTGTCTTCAAAACACTATTTTCAAATATGTTTACCGATATATAAAAAGAACTTTCAAGAGGCCGAATAAAGCATACAAATGGTACTGTTCATTTGTTTAAACAGTTGAATAATGTGTAATTGATTAACCCTACTGGATTTTGAATACAAAATGAGGAAATTATCCCATATTTTTTGCATTATATTTCACAAAATTGCACATAGGTTGAGAAAAATTTTTCAATTGCTCACCTTGGATGTTGTCACACTTAAAATGCACCCATTAGGACTAGTCAAATTCGCGCTGGCCGCTTCCATTCTGCGTCGTTTCGATGCTGTTGGTAATAATTAAACGAGGTAAAAACAATAACAACTAAATAAAAACTAGACACGTAATCAAGATAAATGTATCAGTAAATATGTAATATTATTACCCACTTATTTACAAACAGATTTTTATCTGAGCCTCACTTCAATTACGTTTAAGTTTACTTGATATCACTCAGTTGCTTGACAGGATTAAATGGAGGGTAAAATCTGCGACATATTCACTAGAAGTTGAGTTATTCAGTCATTAGGTGCATAAGTATATATTAGGCAATAACATTTTCGCAGCTTGTCGTTAAAGCTTGTGAACGTACTATAGAATATGAGTAACATATGCTGGAAAGGAAACAAATGATGATATAGCGATATTGACAAGGTGAAAGTAGAAAGATGAGACAACTGAGTAATCCTTTGACTTTTTTCAAACAATTGAAACAAGAATTTATAAAAATAAACTATGTATTAAAATAGCAAGAAACGTTATTCATAACTTACAATGTGATTGTGGTCCCGGTACAGAAGCAACATCATCGTCTGGAGGTGGTAGAGATGACTCAAAACGTCTGTTAAAAAAATTTATTCGGTAAAATAAAACACAAATATACCAATTTACAATAAACTGATAAGCACCAATCAAATCCAACAAGATATTTGTCAACAAAGAGAGAAATTATATTTATCGATCTTTTCGTAGGTTTTAAATGAATCAATCAGAAACAAAAACATTTTATATGATCAGTTAAATTACTCAATCCATAATTAAATTTTATAACAGCTTTTCGATTTAAGCAACCAAAATAAATTCACTAACACACCTATACATATAAGGAGTGCGGCTGAAATTTTAAAGTTCCACAAACCTGTAGTAGTTGGTTACTTTTGAACTATACAACAGCATGAACTAATAAAAACATGTGTCAGATTCTAACCCGGTTATTTTAAAGTTGATAAAAGATGGTGTATAAAATCAATATGATAAAAGAACACTGATTATTTGAGTATTAGTTGCAAGAAATCAGTCGCTTGAATTGAACAAAGCAGAAAAAGAATAGTTAATAAACAATTCTAATAGTATTTCGATGCAAACATTTTATTGCAACAGATAAGTGAATATCTGATTTCATACAACAGCAACGGTTACTTTCTGAAGGTCTGAGGTCGCATGTAGATTGGATCCCGAAGTGTTAAAGTAACATTATAAATGAGTTACTTTAACGTAATTCTTAATGTATTGCAACTATATCTGTATTAACTGTACATTTCTTTGAAGAGCCAACAAAATTTCAATGATATTCATTATGAACTTATGGTTTTCCTTCAAAATATACAACCCAACAGAAACCTTTGATCACTCTCCACTATATATTCACTTGTATTAATAAACAGCATTCGAAATGCAAATGTCGTTAAGAATTTATGATTACATACTTTAAGAGAAAAATCTATATGCTAGCTTTTCTTAAATACTAATTTTAACAAATAGTTATTTCTGTCTGAATACAAAACAAAAGTGGTCAATTATTTACTTACTGACTAGATCGTAATTTACTTTGGGTAGTTGTTGGAATGGAAGGTGAATTATTGCTCAAATTATTCGAACTACTAGAATTGCTCACAGCTGTTACCGAGGACAGTGACACAGACCCGGAGAGTTGACCAGAAGGATTGCATTTCGAAGACTCTACGGCTGTTATAGACGCATTCACTGTTTGAGGTCGTGACCGTGTTTCCAGAACTATTTGCAAAAAGGCACATCAAAACAATGATGGATGGCAATAAAATCATAATCTACGCATCAATGATTGATTTTAAATGCGTTTAACCGAACAAAACACGTATGCATTGCTTTCTGTGAAAAGAACCATTTATTTTAGTAATATTCCAGTTAGCTTTTGTTATAAACTTGTAAAAATTGCAGAACTATTGAAACCCAAGGAGCAATAGTTAACTATTTCAGGTTATTAAGTGGATCATCCGCAGTAAACAACTGACTCAAAAGAGACCGAACCCAATACATTTAGTTCTTCTAGCGTGAGTTACCTGTAGAGCAATAGGTTGAGACTCAATGATACATATTTCAATCTCCTCCATGTCCACATAAAAGAATGAAGTTGTCAGAAGACTGTTTCACTGCTCACATGGTTGTCAATCAATTAATGAGGAATTCATACCAAAACGTTGACAATCCATTTCGAAACTAGTCGCTCATGAGCACAAGACCAGTGTTTGCTTCAATTCTTGAGCAAGCTGTGAATATGTACTTCTGTGGAGTACAAAACTAAACAGCTATTCAATTTTCCTTGATATCCCCCTGTTTGATTTTATTTGTGCTGAAATCTCTACACTCCTTTAAGCCAAACATCCTATTTTAATTATACTTCTTTTCTTTTTCTTCAAAATAGTTGGTTCCCATGTTTTTAATTCTTACTTGTCTTGTGAAAAGGCTTACATTAGAGTTAGTCAGTGTATATAAATAAGAAAAGAAGTAATAACAATAATGTTTATTTATAGAGTTGTTAAGTTAATATGCATGTGCTGAAAAAGAATATAAACAGAGTTGAGAGGAATAACATGACCATGCATGTATAAGACTTACCACTACCGCTTGGAGCAACAGTTGAGTTGGATGGGATTTTACTAGTTTGATTTGATGGTGGTGGTTGTGTTGAAGTACGTCGAACAGATACTGAAATATGTGGAGGTTCAAGTGTCGCAGAACTATTAGACGAATTACTGATGCTAGTAACAAAAATTGTGTTGTTGCCTCCACTACCACTACTACTGGTATTAGTATTGGTGATACCACAACTAGTGTTGTTTATATTTGAAGGCGCATTCGAAAAACTGGTCAATTGATTTGAACCGGAATGTCCACGTGGATTATGACCGTAACTAGTTGAGTTGACAGTAGTTCCGGAACTATTGTCAGGATTTGATACAGTACGATTAGTGTTAACACCACTGTTGATGCTTTGATGATTACTTGAATAATTTGTATTCGTCTCTGAGCGAATTGGTTTAGTTTCTTTCAAATGAAATTCTTCCTCACTAACCCATTTAACTTTACGTGGACGCATTAGGCCAGCATAACTGAATGCTAAAGCCTACAAACAAGCAAAAAATAAAAAGTACGCTGAAATTTAAATACAACAAATGCACACTGATTGGAAATATTAGAAAACGAAATTTTCCAAACATATTTCTAGGAGCTTGGAAAATAACTCGTTATATATTTCTCTAATCTGATAGGTCGAATAATTAGTTTATTTAAGCATCTATTCTAGAAGCAAAGCGTCGCGAGATCAGTTCTAATTCCATAAATAATTTGATTTATGTATCTGATTCAGCCTTGAAAAGCAGAAGGACTTACTATTTTTGTCTACTATTCTTGGTCAAGTGTCAGGAATTGCTACAGTCCAGAAATCAGTTAGAAAATCATCATATTAAGCGTTTGTTTAGTGCATCAAAGTTATCAGGAGGGTTACGAATAAACTGAATAGTCTATATTGATATTATCGGTAATGAAGTAGTTTAAAATTTTAGTGAGGAAATGTGAACACAGTTAATATAAAGGTTACAATACTAGATTACGTAATATGAATAATAACAATAACAATAGATTTAGTGATTATAATAAGATGATTAAAATGTTTTTGATATAATAATTAAAGGTCATAGAGGTGTACAAAAATAAAAGATAAGCTTCCGCGTCTGGTCGCCTCCATGTGCATCTACCAGTTCACCTGCTCTTGTGGAGCAAGGTACATTGGCCGTAGCCAGTGCTCGCTTTCAACTCGGATACGAGAACATATCCCAGCCTGGTTCTATAAGGGTGAAAGGAAAGCAGTTAGGAGTTCTATACTTGAACACCTAATCGACTATAACCATTCAACAGATCCACAAATTGACTTTAAGGTTGTTTATATGATTCGTTCAAATCTACCCAGATTTCTTCGTATTCAACTTTTAAAGATAGCCGAAGCTCTTGCCACCCAAGAGCTTAAACCAGAACTATGCGTACAAAAGAAGTACGTCTTATCGTTATCGTTACCTTGGCCTTAATTAGTTTGATTATCCTACTATTAATGTTATTATTATTATTATTTCACAGATCGAAATCATGAGTCAGTTGAAGCTAGACCACCATTGAAAACCTGGAAGCAGTGGACGGCTGTTTCGTCCTAGTATGGAACTCCTCAGCAGTGCGCATCCACGATCCCGCACCACGCGGGGCTCGAACCCAGGACCTACTGGCTTCGCGCGCGAGCACTTAACCACTAGACCACTGAGCCGGCATCCAACGGTGTTAATGTCTAACTTCAACCAATCCACGAAGTTGCGCCACCGTACACCATTGTCTTCAGTGAGTTCCTATCTCACAACAGACCTGGTTGAACTCCACTGGTAACGGCTTCTCACTAGAACTTCGGCAGTTTTTCCTGAAGTCAGTCACTAGTGAGCAGTTGATTATTATCAGAATGGGTTTTGTGGAGATTTTAGAAATTTCACAGATCGAAATCATTCCCCCTTTACTTATGTCTTATATTCTCATTGTTTTATTCATGAACGCTCATCATATCAGTTTATTTTTGTACACCTCTATGACCTTTAATTATTATATCAAAAACATTTTAATCATCTTATTCTAATCACTAAATCTATTGTTATTGTTATTATTCATATTACGTAATCTAGTATTATAACCTTTATATTAACTGTGTTCACATTTCCTCACGGAATTAGTACTTTTACAAAAACAAAATTTTCATATATATACGATTGTACAGCTTGATAAAATTTTAGTGGCGTAGAGATGACATGATGCAGAACAAGATTAACCAGACCAATCATCAGATTTTTCATTACTCATAGCAAGAGAATACGATGGAAGCTCTTAAACTTGAAATAAGTAAAATCAATTTTGCGGGTGTGTATAAGTAAATTATTATAGAATGACAGTTACCTTATAATTACCCTCATGGCGATTCATATCATATTACATAATAATCAACTAACGCGAACATGATAACAAAACTTAAGGGTTGGATTAAACAGTATGGGAAGAAGGCATAATTCCATAACAATACTATATACATAGAGTTGACTGGTCAATATATGTTGATATATTTTAATACTAAAAGTAAAAGCACACTAGTCAATTATGAGAAATGACTAAAACGGTACTTCCAATGTAAAAATCTGCACTTTTCCGTTACTTATTTTTGGACAAAACAATCCTGCTATTTCTTTTTATTGTGATAAATAAATCACGGAATAAAAAAAATGTATAATGTAACAAATACATCTCGATATATCTCTTTTACTTTCTATATTCCAATTAACCAAGCAGGTGAGACAGAAAACTATAAATAAATAATTTAAATGAGAGCATTAATTTTACAGGTTGAATACAACAAGTGAACTTCTATCTTGTATGTGCTTTGATAAATTTAAAAAAAAACCGATCGAGAAATTTAGAAATTATCATTTAATGATTAATGAACATCTACATTTTAACAGTACATAGGAAACCACATCTATAATAACTTTATATGAGATGTTATGTAATGAGAATGAATCATAATCAGTCTAGACCCCATTATACGTGTGCATTAGCTTAAAATAGCATAACAGATATGCAAAATGAGATGAAATTAACCAGATGAATTCATTTATGTCAGAAACACAGAAAATATACGACTAATAATAGGAATAAATCTAATCAACACCACAATGTTTGGCAACAAAAAAGGAATTTCAGTAGGAAATTCCACTTTAAAATAATGCTCGTTTGTGAATATTCAAACAAAACATATCAAAGTCCAGCAGTGGTTTTCGTACCATCTTCAACTGCAAAGGTTTTTCGAGGTGACATAAAAAATAAATACATTTATATCAGTGTGACTGACTGTGAATACTGTTACCCAACATCACAGATTGATCACAATTATGATATGGACTCTAAACAAGTAAACTAAATTGACTAACACAGTTTATATCAACAGCCAGTAAACCCATGGATTGACTTCATATCTCGGTTTGACCAGCCTATTCAATTCAAGTAAAATTGCGCATTGAAGTATGAGATGGTTATGGTTTAATTTTTACTAGATCAAAAAGCAATATTTAACTGTTCAAACTAAAATTAGATGAAGCGGAAGTTAAAATCAAAAGAGAAACACTAATAAACAAACCTTTAAATCAGGACGTCGATCTTTCTCTTCATCTTTTAGTTTATTTACACGTCGTTCAACAGCACTTCCGAACTGTGTGATTTTCGGATATTGAGGTAGAATTCGTGTTAATACAATTAATGCGTTGCGAATTTGAACATAATTACCAGATTCTAGACAAGCAACAATTGCTTTTGTAATACGATAATGCCATTTATGTACAACATGACGATAATTCTCATACTGCAATTGGTCTGGTTTAGTATTCGCATCTAAACCTTGATATGTCTTGAAATAAAACAAACCGAAATAATAAGAAATAGACTGTGGCTCATACTTCATTTGACTCTATGTTAACATGGATAAAACAGTGAATTAGTAATAACTGAATGTCGACTGTCGAAAAAAAGATATACCATCCTTACCTGTGTATAAAAAAGCATGGATTGGGAAGTAGACATCAACCATATAAACATACTCAAACAGATATGAATACGGATTCAGTGTAAAAACAGTGAATCTATAAAAAGAAATACTGAATAATTCCCAGAAGAATACGGTATTCACATAGACCAGTTGTCAATGAGGATATCAATATGCAGTGAACGTTCAACTTCATATGATAATCAAAGCGATTAGAAGAACACATGAGAGATAACGAGACTATTGAAGTTTTTTGGAATAGGTGTAGCACACAAACCAATCAAATTATTCCGATCAATCCTATGCAAACCAAATGACGAAATGAAAAAAGAAGTAAAACCGAACATCATCTACAAAAAAGAATTGTTCCGATTGAGAAAAACACTACATCGGACAAAGCGGTCACCTTCTTCATCGTCGCCTGAATAAACATCAATCAGCGGTCAAAAGCCATGACATGTCCTCACTTATATCAATGCATGTGGACATATATTCGACTGGGAAAATGTTGGAATCTAGGATAGAGGCTATTATGAAAACACCAGTAAATTTTAAGGAGCTCGGTACTCAAGTCAACCAGCAATCAACAAGCATATTGAAATCTATCTAACTTATCAACCAGTCAGAAAAATTATGATCGATTAAATCTATTAACCAATAAGACGGATATAGGACCAGAAATCAAATCAAAGGGAAATACAATCAAAATGATGTAGACAATGACAGGTTAAAGGTCAATACTGACCAATCAACATCGAGGACTATAGGACAAGCTGTGAGTCATATGTGGAGAAATTCGAACACTTTGCTCTACCTGAAGTTTGTGCTGATGATGTCGTCCAGAATAACAATGAAAGCTCCACGACCAAACCGTTCAGCTCAGAGAACAAAAATCCACATGGATCATCTACCTGAGGTACGAATTTCCACTGTCTTAGAATGAACAAAGGGTATCAAAATCTTATGATATCAGATCATGATATAAATTGTCCATAAAACATCTATATGAAAATCTTCACAAAAAGTAATTACTTGAGAATCAGAGTATATTTGATTTATACAATATTAATAAATGGCATAGACTGAAAGAACGCTAACCAAATCACACTAAGATCAAATATGTAAAATATGAGTCAACTCTAGATGTTTACTGTTGTCATAAAACTTCTTTTACCTGGAAGATCACAATAGGTTGTCATTGGTGAGTCAATTTATACGTTTATTCATGGTTTAAATGACAACTCGTGATAAAAATGATCTTTAAATTACGAAAGTCCCCCACAAACGAAGAAGAATTAGTCATGTGTCCTGTTTTGATTAGACGGAAATTCATGACCAATTAAAATCACCTAATAGTGAATAAGATTAGATAATGGTTGTGCAACATCAAAAATTGACTGGATCTAGAAGTGGTTTTCACGGAATTCTGATACAATAACTGTTATGACTGGTCGCCAATTGTTATGTCAGAGTCGCTTATTATTTATAATTGAGAAACGAGGAACCACAACAATTCTGACGACGCGAAGCAAGAACAACCAGAATTGTACAAGTGAAAATTTATTCACTCTAAAACATGATGACGACCCTAGTCGAAAATACACTCATTATTATATATTGGTTTGTACACCTATTTTGATTATTAATTAGAATAAAATCATATATATCAAAAATACCAAGGGATATAACAAACTACATGCTGAGTACAGTTCATGTTAATTGAATACAAGGATAATGTGTCTTAAAGAAACATTACACTCAATTAAATTAATGTCATATCGAATAAAATATCACACTGAAAAACAAAACAAATATTACACTGAATAATCATCGAAATGAATTTTTTAAAAAAAACGCCAGTATTGTTGTAAAAAAAACACAATGAGTAAACAAAATGTCATTTTGCTTTTTAATTTCGTACGTTAAGTAAAAAATTTTAAAGTCCATCTGATTATCATTTTAAACTTTTGTATGCCTTCCTGAGGTGAGAAAAGCAACGGAACTACAGCAAACTCATGCTTTTTGGTCACATCAATGATCTAAGGCCATGATAAGGATCACCTTTAAATTCGAAAAGGTCTCTACAGAGCTACCTTATATATAGGTTTGTATATTTTTCCCGTGGTTGACATTACGAGGACAGCGACTGATAAAACTGCACTAATATATGCTCAGTTTTGTTACATAGGTACAAACGCGCGTCCTGGATTCCAATGCCAGCCACGGTACATATTTACTAGAATCATCTTAGTTTTACAAAATAGTTGAAAATGTTGTAAAACAAAGTAATTACCACTGACAACGAATTAAATTCGTTTCATGAACATTCTACTTCTTTTCTTTTCAGAAGGAACAATGACAAACATAGGAAAAATATTCTTGCGAGTAAAATAATATTTTTAGGTCAAAACTAACCTTTCTGAAGACAGTAACAAAACCAGGATATTGACCACATTCTTGATTGAACACTTCTTCACTGGCATGCCAACGCATCACAAGTTCTAAGACTGCACATAAAAATCGACCGTAACGATGCGCTTCATTTTCTGTACACATACTGGTTGGCAACGTTATATCATTAAAAATCTGATGGGATGGGAAAATATATAAGAGAATGGGAATCATGTATCTTTTTGAGATGACATTACTACAATAAAGCTTATAAAAATAATGCCATCATGGGAAAATATTGTCTTATAAGATGAAATCGTATAAGAATCACAGTGATAGGTTCTTAATGATTTTTTTGCTCTTATAAGGTCATCAAACGATATTTAACAACGAAACAGGCCAAAACCTCTCCTCGATCACCGAATATTTTTCATAATTGTTATTTGAAGAAAGAGTATATATATGCGAAATTCATATAAATCCTCTATCTGCGAGAATTAATAAAAATAAGACACCGAGAAAACGATAAAGATTGTCATATATTTGACAAAAATGGAAACAAAAACAGGCTGATTATATTTAAAAGTATTAAATTAATATAAACAAATAAATGAACTTCAAGATCAAGCTACTAAATTGATCGACTGCATAGTATCTATATCCAAAAGAAGTGACAATTCTACTTCACAATCATCCTTTCATCATAGCCGGAATACTCAAAATATAGACTCTGTGAATTAATATCTATTAAGTTAACACCTTCAATAGGGTTTGTTACACTAAATACACAATTAAGTAAATCTCTTACTGAATTTTTATAAGCTATCATGTTTACTAAAATAGGGGACAATTGAGGTTGATTGAGAGCTCTATACTAACCGAATTAACAAAAGAATATCAAATGAACCTAAAGAAAGCATTTCAATTCATCCACTAAAATTATCGTATGATATATGTATACTTCATTTTGTATACAGTCAAAGGTAACAAAATCCATTTTACCAACTTACGAAATATCCATTCATGAAAACTTTGTATAATCATTCTTCTTGCTTTAGCCATCAAAATAGCACAGGACACTAAGATGTTAATATTCCCTTCGTCTTTCTGTTCCTTTACATGACTGTAACGTGTCTTTGATATTTCTTAGGTAATCAATATTATTATTATAAAACTTTCCATCAAAATTGTCATTTTTCTTAATAAAAATAGAAACATTTCATATAATGACAGGTTGAACACCTATTCCTATATGTTGAAATATTCGTCAATATATGAGAGAATAGTTTGACAGAAATTGGGCTCCGAATATAAAGAAGACATTGTCTGTGAAAATTATATTTGAAGTAATTTCAGGGAATAAAATTTAAATAATCCCAACTTTTCGTTCAACAAACTTATTCGACCTTGTTAAGGGTAACATTTAAACTTGAAATTATCATTACAGAGTTATGGAGATTTTTGAGTTATTATCAAAGAACATATAATATTTGAACGCTTATTCAATCATATTTTCAAATTACTTTAGAGCAGAGAGAAAATGTGTAATGCATGAAAGAAATCGGTAAGAATTCTTGGTTTAAGCTTAGTTTACACTCATTACAAAAGCGTATCTGTGCCCAATAGAATTGGGACCGTTTTTATGGATATGGAAGGATGGACTTAGTGATGAATCCCTTTACATATAAATCAATAAATTCCAGAACGAAATTTCTGTTTTCTTCATGAACATTTCAAACAGTTAATATTTCCCACCATCCTCGTTTAAGGTTTTCTAACAGTCTACTTACTGCAACTGATTTTTTTTACATCCATCGTATATAAGATGCGTGAATTATAGTATATTCGTTTCTCATTATTTCCAAAGAATAAACGGCGAGGAAAATATGCCTATAACTACAACATTTTCACTTCAGTTTTTCGGCAATAACTTGTACGCTTTTGATGGTAGTGTCTGTGTGTACATGCAGTGAAGATGTCCAAACAAATCTATTAAAAGTTTAGCTTTGATATTGACTCAGGTGAAAAACAGGTAGCCTAAACGTTTGAGCAGGACATTGATACTTCACCCGACTTATCAAAGAGTATTGACTGATTTCAACAAGATTTCGTGGATGATTTTATTCAGAAACAACTTGAAAATACACGTAGCAGGTTTGAAAAGAGACGAAAATCTAACCTATAATATATTTTTACAAAAATACTTACTCGATCCAAACAAATCAGCGTAGAGAATCGTGCAGTCTTTAATTGGTGCAAAACATGCATAAATTGTGCCGCATAGATAGCATCAGTTGCGGTGAAACACACTCTAGGATATATACATAATTGTAAGAATTGTGTAATAGTATCAGTTTTTGTAGCTAATCGTGTTTGAAACCAATTATCACGTTCAGTCATAAGCCAAGCACGTACACGTGTTACATGTTCTTCCCGTTCAGCTTGTTCATTGGTTAGACGTTCAATTAAATTTTCTAAACGTTCTATCTCACGTTTCTTTTTTGTTGAATTCTAAATTTACGTGAGTATTTGATATAAATAGAGAGAGGAGATTTGAAAAAAGGATCCTGTTACTAAATAAATGAGTACTAAGCAAAATGCTAAAGTCGAAGTTAAGATTTTTACAGAAAATAAATTTCTGAGATGTTACGATGATGATGAAGTCATGCATAGTTAAAGTGACAGTAAAAGCATATACTAATTAGTATTACCACGTTGCTAGAATAGACTAAACAAACACATACTTATACATTCAACATTTAAAAAGAAGAAAGATTCATTATATTGCTTTTTGACTAACATACAAAAACACTATATGTTTGGACTGTGCCCATCAATGGGATAATTATCAGCAGCATTGAAAGGTTTCTCTCACTAATCATTGATCCAGATAAAAATACAGAGAAATATATACATATTCGTTTATTCGAAAAATACTTTGATTGTCCAGAAGACCTACTTATTTACAACCACTTTATGAATACATTGAGGTAATGCTTTAATAATTTTTTAGTAGTAATTAGTAATAGTAGTAATAGTGGTGGTAGTAGTAATAATAATAATTTTTAATGGATATTGACAGTTGGAAACAGTTACTGTCTTTGTTGTTCGAAAGGTATTGTGCTAACATCGATATTGTTACATAATAATATTTCCTTTTTATCATATCAAACAAATAACTTGTTAAGACAAATATTGCACCGAATGCTTTGTATTAAGAATAAATAAATTTCCCATCAACCACTACAATATATATATCAAGTACAAGTTTTCTAACTCGACAGTGAATTACATTTGGTGTTAATGCTAATTTGGTTATTAAATTTGAACAAGTAAAAATAAAGAAATTCTAATTTTAATACGCCATTAGGAAATTGAAATAGATCGATTCCTAATGTTTCCTGAGAAATATCAAGAAAACAATAAGTTTCTTGTTTAATCATATTGAATTTTAAAACACATCAAAATTAAGAGACCTTCAGTGATAATTTGGGACCATTATGTCACAAGCGGCAAACTATCAGTTATGGCGTTCAGCTTTGAAGGTCCAAACCCCAGTCCGCTACCACAGTTTCGAAAGCTGCATAGTATAATCAGCTCTCACATACACAAGAAAACAAGTAGCCGAAATTGAGTACACAACTTTGTACCTAATAAATAAGTAAAGTTAGCAACATAATTTGAACCAAAGAGATTGTAATTATAAGCGTCCCATGTCGCAGAAATTCCCTATCTCACCACATAAAACCTCCGGTAAGAACAGAAGATAAAGATGTAGGCACAAGATCTTTGCCGACCTTGTTGATACAGAGTATATAGTTTTTCACTCATCTTTTTGAAAGGACAGAAAATTCGGTAAATAATAACGAAAACAAAACATAATTTAAATGAAATCTGACAAAGTGAATGCTCGTTAGTGAAGTTGCACAGAGTGACCTGTTGGAAAGTATCATTGAAGAGCAGAGTACTGGAAACTTTGGTGCTTATCATGCTCACGGGTAAAATGGCGAATTTCGGTGATAAACTGTGGAAAGTGTATCATAACATGTCGGTAGTAGAAGAGTCTTTACCCATGACATTAGACGGTCGTCAAGTTTATCATGAGATAAGTTGGAAGTGTACGAGATTGATTGTTAATCCAGGTGTCTAGTGATTAGGCACTTGCTGTGAGATATGAAGGTACTGGGTATGAACTCTAAAAGAGGGTTAAACGGGTACTTAAGATAAAAGCCATGATGTGATGTCCCATCACTCCAACTTTTTCAACAGTACTCCGTTTGAGTCTAATTTGTGACGAATATCAGCTTCCAAACACAAAAATCTACATCTAAATGAACATTTATTCACAGAGAGAGAAAGAAAAACAAGAAAATATACACAACTAAGGTTTACATCATCAATGCATTTACCCATCCACTAGCCGGCGTATCAATTTGTTGAATCTGCTCTTTTAATTGTTGTATTTGTCGTTGATAGGCGGATTCGGGGACAACTAAATCACTTGACTGTAAGCTCCAAAATGTGATAAAGAACACAATGCCTAATTCATCCCATACACGAGCTGGATATAATGGACGTATAGCTGCAGCTATTTCATTGCACACATGTAAAGAAGCAGCTGAGAAAATTGTCTACAATTTTACGAAGTTAATAATAATAATAATAATAATAATGAAAAAGAACGATTAGCAATATTAAATGATATAAAAATAGATGAATAAACACACTTGATAAACGTTAACATTTAAATTGATCAAGTGAGTTAAAACAAAACCTTTGGACTAGTAGATTCTGAAAGACATTATTATACACAATATGATTTCTTTAGATAGCATACATCATGGGTAATTAAACTACTGAATGACGTCAAGCTTCAGTAGATTAGACATCAGAATTTAAATAATAAAAAAGGAATCCTAACATAGAAACTGTGAAGTATGTTAACGGTCAGCTATAGTTTCTCGAAAAAATCTTTAAAAATCCGAGTCACCAAAACATAACTGGAAATATTATGGAAATTCTAAGAGAAATTTACAGAGCAACTGCATTTTCAAAACTGATTAGAGAGTGATCAGTTTTATTATCAAATTTACCTTTTTATGGAAGCTTCCGTATTCGCAACATCAAAAGTGTAATCATATCCGTTACCCTCGTTTTCTGTATATAAGCTAACCTCATAAAACTTTTATTTTATCAGTAGTGTGCCAGTATATTGAAGCGATAACCTTCCAACCATAAAGTTGCAGGTTTGATATATTACTCCACCTCACTCGAGCTGGATTGCTGAGTAAAATCATTTGTCCTTATACAAAACAGAGTGTGCCTGAAACGCTTGTGCATGAGTCTTTAATTATTTATTATCCTGATAAAAATTAATTAACATTGCCTGATGTTTGATAAGGTCGAGTATGAGTATGATTGAGTACTACTCGATATTCATTTCGGGAGCTTTTGATGCATCCATCATTCAGAAAGTGACTCAACTTGTTCGTCTTAGGGTGCCTTTATAAGATTTATTCAAGGTCTTGAAACAGGACTTAGAATTATAATATCGTACGAATATGCTGCTATACATGATTAAGAATAAGCTACAAAGACTTTAAAAGCTTCAAACAATAAAATTATTACTTTTATGATTCAAGGATTTTGAAATAAATGGTTGGAAATTGTACAACGCTTCAATGACCAGTAATAAACTATCTCAAAAAAACTAACTACCAAATATAAGCTGGGCTAGTTCAAGACAAATAATAGGTGTTAATTATCATAAAGCACAGAAAGATTATACTTGCTAAATCTAATCATAAATGCTTCATAAATTTTGATAGAAATTTGTTCATCCAATGACTAACAACAGGCAAATTTGGATTATACGATCTTCGGTTAAACTATGTGCAAGTAACAAAATTACAATACTCCATCCAGGAGAAAGAAGGAGAGGAAAGGAGAAAAAAGAAGCTACTCTAACTTAACGTATTGAACAAAAAACTGATCACTGACCTTGCTGAATGATTTTGATTTTTCACCAGATTTCATTGTTTCTGCTTGTTCTTTGCTTTCAAATAAACGCTGAAAATAATTTATGGCAAATGCATTTTACCTATTCAGTTAAATCACTGGATATATCATTTTATCAATTAAAGATAATATTCAAACTAGTAAGCTATCTAACAAAGATTCACTGAAGTTAGGAATGCAAACTTCGTAGGTGCGTTGCATTAGCGTTGTAATCAGCTCTCTCTCTCTCTCTCTCTCTCTCTCTCTCTCTATATATATATATATATATATATTATATATATATATATAATACACCAGATGCTATTGTAATACATTATATTCCAAGACTTCCTCATCTATAGCCATTTATCATATATTTCTACATGTACAGAGGTTCATCCTGGTTATTTTAAAGATCTTAGAATCAGTAAATAATAATAATGTTCATTTTTTTAAAGTAGAACAGACTGATAAATAAGTACTTTGCAACAATCATTATCGATATATACAACATCTACCAATTTTTCGCCTGAGGATGAATTCCAGATGAATATTTCATTAATCGCATATGAATAACATTCTAAAATCTGGTTCGTTCTGTTTTAAAGACAAGAAAGTGAAATATTTCGGTAGTTGTAAAAAACAAATCACTTATTATATACCATTCTGACATCAATACACCGATTGGCGATATGGTTTGCTTCAGATTAATTAGCAAGGAATATTGTCAATTCGAAGAAAATTTAGACCATAAAATCAACAAATTTGTGTATAAATGATAGTAGCGAATTTTGAAACTCAAGACATTTGCTGCGCTTCATACACAAGTCCATCAGTTGAAAAAAGAATTGTAAAGAATTATTTCAAATTCGTCAGAATGCTACAAAATTACACTGCATGTAGTGCATGTGACATATGAGAGTGGTTTGCAAAATGCGAATTTACTGAAAAAGACCAGACTGTATATTCATGTAATAACTTTTTAACATAATCGCCAGCAAGTAATGAAAATTAACAGTGTCTTGGTGGAAATATGACTTATTTATCAACCAGGAAGCTGTGGATTAAAAATATAATTTATTTACTACGATTTCGGCAGTCGAACAGTATCATTAGTTCATCCACAAACTGTGTGCTGCAAAGTCTAATACAAAAACGTGTACCCTGGGAGTGATATATATAACAAAAGTAATATCGAACGCTATGATAATATTAACCAGAAAATTGATTTCTAGAACTCAAAACCTAATCAATTAAACTTTTGTACAACTAGAAAATTGGGACGACAACAACAACGAATACAATTGAAATAAAAAAACCTACAGCAACTTTTTGTTCAAACAGATTACGATGAAAACAAAAGGCAGTATCAGCTGGAACATGAAATTCACCCATCATTCTGTCAATATTTAAACACTGAGTTTGCATTTCATCACGAGTTAATTGAAGACTAAGAAATGTTATGAATTGTACAAGAGTACCTTGACACTAAAGCAGAAATAATGAAAACAAGAGAGATAATAATTTTAAAAAATGGTTAATTATATTACAGCAACCATAGAAATTGAGTATTCAAGAGTAGTACAGAAAGGTTTCGTAACAACATTAGTAGACCATAATTCTGGCACTCAGTGATTAGAGCAGAGATCAGGTGTCTGGGACCATCAGCTGACTAGCTTTATTCAGAATTGCTAAAAAACATTACCGCACTCCATACTATGTAGAAAAAGGCAATCATCTTAAGTTTTTCAACCTTGAAGGTTAGTAACTTTAGAGTGTGCTCAGTAGAATAACATAGCTGAACTTGAAGACGATGGTAATTTTGAGAAGAGCTATATTGGGATCGATTGGTTCGGTATTGCTTTTAATAGAGGAGCATTGACCTTTCTGTAGAGTACGAAAAGGTGTGGAACTTTATGAAATTCAACTAACCTGATCATATAAACGCCCAGCTAATTTACAGTGACGTTCTGGATCATCTAGAAATATGATAGCATCACGCTGTTGAGCCATTAAAAAAATAAATGGCATGATCAAATTATGTTCAACCAAGGCATCTTTAAGACGTCCAGCATTACGACGTGTGTTACGTATCTGTGCATAATAACCACCTTCTTGCAATAGTAATTCACCACCTGACATGGATTCTAATTGTTCTTCCGTCATTTCTTCCGATATATCGATACCAGACATACGATGGAGAATTTCACGTAATATTGCCAAATCATAACTATAATTATGTTTTATTTGAAATGGTGAGAGGAATAAACAAAAAACAAAGTAATTTTATACTTAAAGTGTACATAGATAAATAACTATCATTTATCTGTAACATATTACTTACAAACGTTAACTGTAGCCACTATTTATTAAAATGTGCACGAAAGATAACTGCATAAATTTTGCAGAATACGACAATTTCTCTCAAAATACATACAACAGTAGCTCAGAGTTTGTAGTCTTTTGTCCTGTTATAACTTGTGACCTTGCACCCTACTAATATTTAACGAGGTGATACCGCCAATTAGAGAACAGTGACTTATCGACCGAACCAACAATGCATAGAACCGTACGAGCAGTCTGGAGTCCTCATAGATTCTTTTTCCTGCCTAGCCCTGTCTATTGAGTCCAGAACACCAATCTCAGCCTCTGCGATACGAATCACTTATTTCAAATATACTACATTTATATACAAGCCAAACAGACCAAATCACACCATAAAATGGGAAATAACATTTGTACAAGATCTAGCCCAAAGTTGCTGTGATTGTGGTAGACTAATTAATAAACTGGGGATAACTTAAGAATGGTAAATCGTATAATAATAGTCTGTAGGTTAAAATAAAGCTTATAATAAGATGAATATGAATATGCATAGTTCAGTTACTTAATCACACAATAAAAATATATGTATAGAATTAGTCCAGAAATAGATCCCAACAGTTACCATTCATACTTCTCGTTGGGATATAAAATGTCTAAACCTAAAATCCATTTGTTATCGAAATGTGAAAATATTGTAAGACATCTTCCTGCTTAGGAATTGATTTGGCTGAATAATTATTTGTATTAACTATATAGTGTTCTAAAGCGGTTTCATGAAAAAAGGGAGGCAAATTATCCTGGAGATAATCACTGTAAAATATAAATTAAACCACTACGGCTGTTCGTAAATATGTCTCACTGCACATTGAAGAAGTAGTAGAGGAGATAACAATGGCATCCACATAAGTTGATAGCAAAGTTTTGATAATCATAATAAAAGAGAATTAACCTCTGTTGTGATAAATAGATAGACGGATGGATATCTTAAATTTTTGCACAGCAAAGTGGAATTTAATGCAGCAGTACATATTTTATTCTGAAAGTTATCTACTGTAATCAGAGATTTTGAGTACAAAAATCCTTGATATCCAGGATTTAAAATATTAGGTGATAAGGTCGAAAACATTTCATAAGTCTCCGTTATCAATTGGAATTGTTAAGAAAATAACTTGATAATAGTGGTAGTAAAAGGGATTAGGATTGAGAATAAATGTGAACATCAACATTGAGATGAAAGTAGATTAAGCTGACAAGTAGTATGGAATGTATGTTTGTTAGCGGGACATAGACTAGATTAAAGCATGCTCAATGCATGATTGTTTTGGTGCACGCTGATTGGCTGATTCTTATCCAATCAGCACTAGTCGATAGTCGGAGAATACTCTGGAATCTTCTTATGTAAAAACTATAAATATACCGACGTTTTCCCCTATTGTGCTTCTGACTTGCTATTTGGAATATAATCTTTTTACTGTTCAACCGTGTTCTGATTTGGGGACTTGTCGAGTGAATCGGTGTCCGAGAATACTAAGCAATAGGAATAGCTGGGTCATTAACCGGTAAGAAGAAAAGAGATTATAACAATGTTGTAGACCGTATTGGTAGCCATCATCTAAAGTATAATCAACTAAGAGCAGCTGAAGAACCAATAAAAACTGAAGAGTACTAAGACAGTTATTTAGGTTAAGTTCAGGACTTCGGATAGGATATATTCACGACCCTCCTTGTACGCCTAGTCAAATTGTGTAAATATCCCAAATTTAAAACCTGGAGAAGGCCTCAAATTAAGGAAACAGTTGTTAATAGTTTAGCGTGTTGGTGACTCAGACACTGTACTGGATAGAAATTTCCGTCGCTATGACACACATGACTTTTTGTTAGTGAATATTTGGTTCAATTGCATTAACACATCAATGAAATAATAATTTTCAAACTCCAAGTGCGTTGCTTATCATTGCTTGATGGACAGTTGTTTTAATTTACCAAGGAAGAAAACAAAAATGAACGACTACAACTGGTTAGTCTGAAAATAATCAGTCATTGTCATACATGATCATCCGAAGTTCAGCCAGAAAATTAAACACACCGACGCGTATACTAATGACTTACCTTTTACCAACTTTTAATTGATTCAGTACATATTGTAACAAACCAGCCAAATCGAATTGATACTTTCTGCACAACAATCCAGTAAACAACGACAATGCTGATTAATTATGTAAATAAGAATAAGGAGGGGAGAATGGGTAAAACAATCAATACTAAATGTTTTCTAAATAATTATGTGTGAGATTTATTGACGATATTACCATAGATATGAAACTGGAGGAGCGATCACATATTTCTTGATGTGACCATTTATAACTAATGTTGGATCAAGATATTAAAACATCTCGAACTTCTCTACAACTGTGAGAAATGACTTTAAAGAATTATTCTTCTCATGCAAAACCGTTGCATAAGAAATAAAGCAGTTGATTGACTGTAAAAGGATTCCTGTAAAATTAATGGTACATATTCGCTGTTACTGTCATTTGAAGACAAGCTATAAACTAGAAATAATAACAAAAGTATTAACATGTACATATATTGATGGGGATACAGTAAACAATCAGTGTACCTTGTAAACCTTGACTTAATTGTAAATCTTCCAGTTTCGATTGATCTGTGGCAAGTGCTTCAATAATACAAACTGTGAACATAACAAAAAACAGCCCGAAAAGTAAAAGCAATCCACAAATATTCACACATTGAAATGTACAAAACATTTGAAATGAATGTTTCGCAAAAACGCGTCTGACATTAAAAAATTCGAACGTTTCATTGAGATGGACTGTCTAAATTTCGTAATATAAAAGGAATTGAACTGCATTTCAACCAGTTGGTCACATACAGTAGTAAGCGTCTATAGTAATTTTTTCTTTATGCATAGGAACTTATTTTCCGAAATGAAATAAGAATAGCTGTTATAAATTGTGTCATCTGCATCACTGTTAGTCCATTTTCTTGCATAACACCTTCAATAACTGATAGAATGGGTCATAATATCCCGAGTGCATTTTCAATACTGCTATAGGAGATAGTTAAGCATTTTAAAAAACATTGATATTCTTTGCAATGCCACTCCGTAAGGTGAGTCAAATAAGTGCTTACATTTGTTCACCTCCATTAAAATGGGCAGAAATACATTGTGACAATTTGTTCTACAAGTAAATTTAAAGTGACCAATTTGGCAGAAAAACATCTCGTATACGCAACAGTTGATCTAAGTAATCAAACGTTGAGTGACCCTAGTCAGACCATGACGATATCCCGTCTGTTAAAACTTATCACGAATGAGATTCCCAAGGTAAGTGAAGTGGTCAGTACTCTTAACTACTTAACTCCCTATAATCATTATAAGCGTTGACACATACTGGTCCTGAACCAATTTTTGGCATTTAGAGTGGCAGAAATGCTTTCCAAACATGCTCGAAGCGATTAGAGGACTTTAATGTGTTAGAATCAACGAATTTAACTACAAATCCACACAGACACACGCATGATAGGCATACATTGATGAGTTTAAGTTATATTTTTAAAAAAACTTATTAAAGTTAACGACTTCATATTAGTCAGCCTCAACACTGACGATTTGATTTTATTTTACATGACAAAACAACAATCCTTGATTTACATGTTACAGTTCTAAATGATGTACTTTGCCTTAAACCTAGTCAATTTCATGGATTATTAATTTCGATTTATAATTGTTGAATCTGATGAGAAGTTATTTAAATAAAATTCTTCATTGATTGATATAATAATATAATAATAATAATAATATAATAATAATATAGTGATAATACCAATAATACTACTACTATACTACTAGTAATACCACTAATACTACTACTACTACTATACTACTACTACTACTACTACTACTACTACTACTACTACTACTACTACTACTACCTACTACTACTACTACTACTACTACTACTACTACTACTACTACTACTACTACTACTACTACTACTACTACTACTACTACTACTACTACTACTACTACTACTACTACTACTACTACTACTACTACTACTACGACTACTACCAATACTACGACTACTACTACTACTACTACTACTACTACTACTACTACTACTACTACTACTACTACGACTACTACTACTACTACTACTACTACTACTACTACTACTACTACTACT